CTTACCACAGGAATGTTCATCACTGCCATCAGAACAATCGTCATCACCATCACATTTCCATAATAAGGGAATACAACGTCCATTATTGCACTGGAATTGAGATTCTTCACATTTTGCTCTTGCACCTTAAAGGAAAAAAAAAGTTAAATGTAGTTGGACTAAATGGCTTGATTCTCTTAATGTACCACCAGTGCTTCAGTTGATCAAAAACTGATTTTTTGCCTAAGGCAAGGATTAAGTGTCTTACTACAAATCAGTAAGCCATTATAAGTTGTTTATGGTCCCATGAACTCTGAAGTGGCAAGTAGTCAGGAACTGTCTACAAGTTCACTCATGGATCCAAGGGTGTCACTAGAGATAGCTGTTAAGTCAAGGAAACCATAACAATCAGCTGTTTTTATAGTATTGTCAGTTTGATGGACTATGATCCATTTTGGATATGGTAGGCACCTGCAGCAGACTATTATTCAAGTTAAAAAACAAAGCTTTCTACCTTTGCCTTCCAAGTACTTGCCACTTCTCTTGTAGACAGTAGATTTTGTAGACTTCAAATTATTCCCATTTTTCCAAAGTGGAAACTGTTTAACAATTAAGTGCCAGTGATAAGGGTCAAGGCTCAATTTTCAGCTAGTTTAAAACTTCACACCTCATTAAAAACTAGCAATAGCAGGCAAATATTGCAGAACCTTCTTTATAAAAGAAGACCCATTTATCTTGGGTACATCAGAGGCATGCAAGAGCCTCTTTTCACCTAGAGAAGGTACACTGGGCAGAGCTGCAGAGGAGATTGTTCCTCCCTCCCCAACACTGACTGTAGTCGGCCAGCTGGAAGAACATTAGCAGGTAATATTTTAAGTCTAAGGAAAGCATTTGCAGTTTAAAACCACCACTAGTTCACAGCACTGAAGTAGTTGGAGTCAGGGTGTGTGTGACATGGGTACAAGCAGCTGCAATTCAGGTTGATGTTTGTATCAGTTCCATGCGTTTGTTAAAGAGCTGGAAACAAGTACAGGTTTTATGCAGAGTCATATTTAAAAAACAACACCCCATAAACCAAGCTTTAGGGCAAGCATTGCCTATCCCCAACAGGCAAACATAACTAGGGTTGAATAGCTTTATTTTGCATCTTGAGGTCTAGAGTACAGCATGATGCAAGACTCTCAATCCACTAAATGATGCAACAAATGGAGAATGTTACTTTGTCTTGGCATCAAGGCTACTTTAAAGGCATCTATTTTTAGCTCTAGGAAAATATTGTTTGGAGTCTATAAGATGCCAAATATAACCTATATGCAAGCATTGTTGTCATTATGTTAGTCAGGAACACCAAGAAGCAGTTGAATTTGTGGGAGATTACTGTGCAACTTGTTAGCCAGTTATTTTGTTACCACATGGTCACAGGTAGCATTAGGACACAGATATGGGAACAAGGGGGGGGGGGGGGGGGGAAAAAAAAAAAAAAAAAAAAAAGAGAGAGAAGGTAAGAGTCCCACCTGCAGAATGGTCTAGTGTAGCAACTGAGAAGCCCTGTAGCTCAATACCCTACTAAGCTAAAAAAGGCCATTTACTCCCCTTTAACATTGTTAGGCTGCAGAAATAAAGATATTCCCAAAGCAGAGACAGAACAGCTAGACTCATTTGATGAAACCCATCAGATTACAAGTTATTATGCAAGATTTAATGTTGTTATCCATCAACCAAGAGTTTGCTGTTCACCAGTCAATGCAGTTCATTAATAGTAGTGTTTTATCACCCAACTTCAGAAGACTGCAGGTTGGGAATAAGTCCATATTTATGGAAGTCATAGTCTAGTTATGTTAGACTACTTAATCTATATCCATTTGGGTCATTGATATGGCCCATCTCATTCAGCAAGCAAGCGCTGCCTGAAAGCAAACTTGTAGATGCATGTTAGTGCTTTTAGGCAGTCAGCTAAGGCAAATCTCACAGCTCAGAGTAAGAGGAAAAAAAAACCCCAAACAAACAAAACAAAAAAACCCCTAAACAACTTAGCAGTAAGCCTTTAACCTAGATACAACACTGCTACATTTTTAAGCTACATCTACCATCATTGAAACTCTTGATGGTCTAGTGCTCTCAGTTGACTATAGACCTCTCCACCAAGAGGAGAGTTGCAAAAGCTACACTCCAATGTAGAGTTAAATGAGCCGACTGTCATTTGGTAAGAGTTAGTGGTCTGAGACAGGATACCTTGTGCATGTGCTCTGAACAGCTGTTCTTTGTGCAACTTCCTGTTGTTGTTCCAGTCCACTGGAACAACTGGAGAGAATGTCTCCAGCCCATGTAGACATCAAGCTCAGCTTGGTTCCCATTTCTACCTTTAGACAAAAGTTTTAGTTCTAGTCTTTTCTCTGCCATGGCCCAAACATGCATTTCAGGGAGTTCAGGCACCTGAATTTCTTCCTGCAGTCCAGTAAGACCAGCAAGCCTAGCTGGCTAATTAAACCTTTAAGCACTTTAAAAGTATGCTATGAAGCAGCTGCTGACAGCACTTAATAGTGGCATTAAATCTAGGGGCCTGGGGTTGTGGGACACTATCACACCCTAGCATCATTTAGGAAGTTATCACTCAACTGTTAGCTCCATGGGTCTTTGTTCAGCTAGAGTCTGTCCATATAGCTACATTTACTTCTTTTAGTAAGAGTATTTCTTCCCCACATTGGATGGAGACCATCCTAGCTGAATTACATGCCCTGTTGCATGTTAGTTTAGCCAACAACAATACTACAAGACACATAAGAGCCACATGCCAAATTATTTACTCCAAGCCAGTTAAGGGGCTTGTAATCATCATGCTAGGCAGTACAGACCAAGAATTTCTATAACAGTTCAATCTCCCAGACTATTGACACTTAGCTGCCTCTGATCCAAGTTAGAGTTGCTACATGACCAGAGGGCAAACAGTCACTTCCCAGGAGTGACCAAGTTATCTGAAGCAATGGATGTTGCCAGAGTAAGTCACACATGTGGTACTGTTACCACAACAGTTTATAGTATTGGACTGGGAAGCCTAAAAGAGCTCAAGCAAGAACTAATTTGCCTTCTTCAGGATTGTCCTTAGCAGGAGTTGGAATTGCCAGTTTGTTATTAAGGTGGCCCAAAGAGCAAAAGCCTGAACAGACTACTCTGGTCAGTTCTTGTCAGACTATTAGAAGGCAAGAGCCAGTGAGTTTGCTTGGCTACACTGAGCTATTCTAGAGTCCTCTTCAGGTTTGAGTAGTTTTATCCCATTATGACCTTTACTGGAAGCTTGCTCAGATCAAGGAGGAAGAGAAGGAACTCAGTGCCCTGGGTCAGATAGGAAAGAGGAAGACAGGCCACACAGACCAGTTTGAATTTCCAGTCCTACCACTTTGTACCTCCAAGGACTGGGTGCAGGGGACAGCACAACTAAGCTGTAAACTTTTAAAGAGATGCTTGCCCACCATCAGGTCCTAGGAATACCCACTTTAATTAGCAAGAGCTGCTTTGTAATGAGGTGTTGGGCATGCCCCTTGCCAAAGCAAAATAGTTATTAGCCACATGTGTTCAGTGTCAGAGGCCTGGTTTGCCCTGGCAGAGTTATAAAGGTGCATTTTAACACCTGCCATTCTCTCAATTAACCTACTGTTACCAAACCCCAAAAGGTATCATGTCAGTTACTGCCGTGCAGCAACTGCCAGATGCTAAACTAACTCATGCAAACACATCCTAATGAGTCTCAAGACCCCACCAGAATCTCAGTTCCAATGACTCTTCCCCCAAGGGAGCCAACAAGACTATCTTACCTTGTCAGTCAGAGTGATTAGTTTTAAACTAAAAAAAACCCCTTCCAACACCACAGGTTTAAGCTAGACTGAGTCCCACCAGCATTGTTTTCTTAATAAGGAAGAGGGGGGGGGGGGAGAAAAGAGAAAAGATTTAGGACCCTGCTCATCATTAGCAGTGCTTTTGGTGCACACAATTAAGTAGAGTGGTAAGGATCCATCATTCAGAGGGACTCAGGAGATGAGAAATGTCTGACAATTTCTCCCACCAGTAACCAAAAGAACACTTCTACAAACAATGGAGACTACAATTGGCCTCAAGCAGGGACTAGGCAAGATTTTAATCCAACTCTAGCCCCGGTAGCCACATCCTCCACACCCTGCAACTCTGCTCAAGTTCAGCTCCTGGAGGAGGATGGTGGGAGAGAAGGTGTCCCTGTGGGGCCCTCAGTCTGCTTCAGGGGGCAGAAGCCCTTCTGATGGGGAAGGAGTTAAAGCAGAACACAACAGAAAGAGAGAGGGGGTGAAAAATCTCTACAAGGGACTGAGCTGCAGGTGAACTGTGGGGCCAGCAAGTTGGGGAAAAAAAAAAAAAATGAAATAAAAAGAAAGAAAATAATCAGCTAGAGCCACAGCAACAGCCCTAGTAGGATCCCTTTCTTTGTTGACATGCCTCCAGGCCCAGCCCCACCAAGGCAGTCTCTCTCCCAGGTAGGGCGGGGGGGGAAAAAAAGGAAGAGAGAGAGAGACAGACCGCCAGGAAAAAGCTGCCAGGGCTGAGGGATCTCGGCTGGTCCAGGGCTCCCCCGAGGCTGCACTAGCAACACCCTCCCGTCCGCGGGGGAAGGGAAATAAATAAATAAGTGCACACAGAATCTGGATGCAGCTGGCAGGTCCCCGCCACGCAGCCTGCCAGGGGGGCGAGCGCCAGGACACGCGGGGAGGGAGAGGGTTGCCAGGGAAGCGCGGCAGCGCCGGGCGGGCCCCCCACCCCGCTTACCTTGCACGGAGCGCAGGCAGCACAGCGCGGCCAGCAGCAGGCAGAGCCCCCGCGACGCCGACGTGCCCAGGCGGCGGCAGCGGCTCGGCGCACAACAAGTCCCCGGCAGG